TTCCCCATGTTATCTTTTAAGTCGTGTTAGATGATTTTTATATGAAGGATCCATAAAGTACCTAACTCCTCCGGCTATGCTTTATCGTTACAAGAGTAAGATTAGACCAAAGATGGAGGATTGTTACCATATCCAGAGTTCTAAAGCGTTTACAATGCCTTCAAGGCGATGAATTATTTTCAACACTACAATCCCTTTCCCTACAGACAAAACGTTGCATGCCTATCGCTTGTCTATTTCTATTTCCATGGAAAATGTTATGACGAGCCACATTCCTTAGTTCCACCCTAGTTCGGTTAGTTTTTTTGCCTATGTCGATTTCCATATTTTTTATGATTGTTTTTCTTGTTTTGTCTGTTTTCTTTGTCTGTTACGGTTTCTTAAGATTATGTGACGTTTCGCCCTTCTCGAGGCCTATATCATTATTTTAATTAGTTCGTATAGCAAATGTATACCAATGAGCTCACAAAAGCCCCGTCAAAACTTCCCATTGTAATGTCAAAGGTTCCTTAGTTATTTATGTACGCTTTTTCGTTGTTGAATAATAGTGATTTTTGGGAGTGCTTAATGATTTTTATTTCGTTGGTGTTTATTTTTATTTGTTCTTGAGCTAAGATGGACTTATCCAGCATGTGTTCTGTTATAGAATGATAAAATCTTTTATATCTCGCTTTTTTATAAATTGGCAATTATATTTTGTTGAAGTTACGGAACTTGTCTATAGTTGTTTTTGCGTTTTCTACTGATTTACTCCTAACTTCTTCCTTAGTTCTGTGTATATTCTTTTTAGTTTTATTTTACCTAGTTCACTTCTGGTTGGGTTTATGAATCGGTATGTTGGGCTTGTTCAGAAAAGTTGTTTGTGATCTTTCAGTGTGATAAATACTTGTGATTTTGCGATATAGTTTATTAGGTCGTCTAGGTCTAATGTTTGGGCGATTGTTTTAGGTTCCATATTAATATCGTATTCTGTTGTTTTTTTTGTTCTTCCTGTAGATTTTAGTGACGTTGTCCTTGAGTAATTTGTTGTGTTTATGGAATGCATCTTACTGTTTATGAAACTTTATGTTTCTTATTAAGTCAGTCAAATCTTCCTCGAAGTCGTTTAGTGCCTTGTGTTGCGGGGGACATTTTTTCCCCGTTTTTATGCGGTATTTTTTCTTGAGTGTGTTATTTGTGTTAAGTTCTTGGTTTAAAAAGAAATGCGTTTTCCATCTCATTCTTTTTATAAAGCTTTCTATTTGTCCTATTAATTTCAGCTTGCAGGTGGATGGTGATGGGATGGGTATGTTTTTTTAAGGAGTAGTCGAGGCTAACAAAAATAGAAAATATTGAAATAACTCGGAAAATAGAATATATTGAAAACATATATTAATGGTAGTGAACTCATAGATTATGCATCAATGCATATCCATTTGACTACACTGTGTTCAGTTTTTATGTAAATTGCGGACAAAATTTGTGGTCACATGCATTGACCGTGTTCTTTAATTTACTTTTATGCTCATGAATACTTTCTTTAACTCTTGGGATGTTTCCCGAGACGTTTCAGGAAGCAATGTTTGCATATATATATATATATATATATATATATATATATATATATATATATATATATATATATATATATATATATATCAGCAATATTTGGAAGTCGCTATATGTATTCAAGACGTATCTCCCGTTATATATTATATTGCTGAAAGAAACCATCCCTACGTGGAAATATGGCAAACATAAAATGATGCAAATGCCTGCAAAAGATCTGTGTATTCCAGACGTATCTAAATAGACTCCACTGTCCATTCGATTTCCAAGAGGACACTCGTATCATTACAGAACCAATCCCATCTTGGACAACACTGTGCCGACAGGCTGGATTCATAGTTGAATGTGCTGGTCCCCCACCCCACCCCAAAATAGACTGTCTGTTACAAAGGAGATAGAGGAGGTCATTACAAAACCATAACTGAATGCAGTATACGCTTGCAGTGTGTTGACTGATGCGTTTGAGGGGCACCAGCGCTGAATTGGAATGTGATCTAATGCATGATTTCTCATTTTTGGTTAGTCACCATTATTGTCAATCGCTCCCAATTCTATTTTTGGACAATTAGTGTGCACTCGCAGATTCCACGTGCTACTGATATATGTCCGAAATTCACATATGATTGGAATACCATTGCTGCTGTTGACCGAGAAAAAAACCCTAGATTAGTTAGCATTTCGTTTTGGACTTCAACGGCTATCTGGTGTTCAAAAATCTGTCTGTTTTCCCTGACTGTCACAGATACACTGCCACAACTAACCTACATCTATTTATACTCATCTAGTGCTCTCAATATTTAATTAGGGAGCATTTCAGTTCACACATACAAACGTATATATACATGCATATATATATATATATATGTGTGTGTGTGTGTGTGTGTTTGTGTGAGTGTGTGTGTGTATGTATTTATGTATGTGCGTGTATGTTTGTGTGTGTTTGCGAGGATATACATGTAACTTTACGTGAATGCGATGAAAGATTTTCGGTTCAACTCACTTTCTAAGATCAATATTTCAGTGATAAAACATTAAAACACTGGGAAGTATTTCCACCATATATATATAAAACACTGGGAAGTATTTCCACCATATATATATATATATATATATATATATATATATATATATATATATATATATATATATATATATATGTTTTCATTAAAAAAAGACAGACAAGGTACTACGGTTGAGCTTTTATTTAATTTTTCTTGTGTTCTGACAAGAGCTTTCTTTTTCTGGACAAAGGGTGTGTAAGAACTGTCCAAATGTTTTATATTTCCGAGCGCTTTCGGCTATACCTTTAGCCATTATCAAGGATGATTCGATTATCAGCTTAGTAGAGTGTGTGTGTTCTGTGTATGTTCAGTGTGTGGTAGTGATGTTTTTAATTTCCGAATACGGTTAGCACATTGTGGCCTTGTTCATAGTTAATATTGTTAAGAGTTGGCTTTTTTTTTTTTTTATTATTAGAACTTCCATTATCTTTAGTCTTTTTTTGCAAGTGGATGCAGTTAATATATTTGTGTTTTCTACTAGTATGTTCCTAATAGTGTCGGGTAAATCTGAGTGTGTGTTTAAATGTGTTCTGATGGAGCTGTGATCAGATAGGTGTAATGTAAGACGTCTGGATAAACATGTGGTTGTGTAGCCGATGTAATTATTTATGAGTCCGGTTTGGTGAGGAACGCAGTTCCTTAAAGGGCATTTGAACTCATAGATAATGTTTGTTCTTTGTAATTTTGACTTAGTTGGTGTGTTGTTATTTTTGAGGATAAGGTTGGCCGTCTTAAATTTTTTATAATAGATAATAATTTATAAAAAATTATCAGCAGATAACATCTCAAACTGAGTGGAGGGATAGAGGACTCTTATTTAACATACTATTACAGAACCGCCAGTCACGAGAGCTAAATATGCGAGAAGCTATACCGTGCTTCATTCTATTAGCAAACAAAGTCTTAAACACTTCGAGGACACGTTTCCAATTATTACGCACAGACACAGACAGGTGGTTGTTATGATCGGAATTGCCATGCTGGTATAGCCGAAAAAAGTTATTCGTGTGGGCTATAGCGGCTGAATAGGCCAGTATGAACCATGGAGAAGATTGTGGTTTGACATGGCATTTCCGAGAATGTACAAAAACATCTATGTCGGCTTTAACCCAATAAGAAAAGTCTGTGGCACAATTCTCAATAGGACGATTAATAATATCAATCCAAGTGGCATCACGAAGAAAGTTACGAAATGAATTCCAATAAATATGCTGATAATGGAGAGAAGTCTTGTGAATAGGAGATTCCTGTCTAATAGTCGACTGAAAAGAGCTTTGAAAATCTCGAGAAGAAAATGCAATTGCCATTTTGGGTTAATATTCCAGAGCGCATATTTATAAAGCATTACTCGTGATCAGCTTTTGAGTGCCAATGGTTTTCGAGCCTAACGTACATAAATCCAATTAGCTCTGTTTAGATGAAAATAAAAACATCCTTTGTGATTTTTTGTTACCCTCTATTCAAATACTTATACACTTGGCAGATTCTCTATGTCTGTTTACCGTGTGCACATAGTTTTTGTTTGAACCGGATAGGAAACTTCGTTCTCATATGTACATACGAGATTCGTTTTAATAAACTGACATTTTTTCATCATTTTTATTGTTTCTAATATGACAAGAAGCAACAATTAAAAACTCATTTCCTTGAGTGAAAAATGTTTGGATTGGTTGCTATTTTTAGTCAATAATATTTTGAATAGTCCTCATCTTTGTTGTTGTAGCTGTTGTTTTTTCTTAATCGCCATGTTTCAGTTAACATATTCACTAATCTTTTTTTTAGATGTTTGCAACTGAATGGGATAAACATAAAAAAACCCAGCAAAATGAGGATACCTAAGGACAATGGCTTAATATTAATATTAACTCGTCAAGGAATCTCGGACGTAATATATTACAACCTCTGTTTCAAAAAAGTATTTATATTATTTTTTTTTACTAATGTTCACCCAATACAAGGCCCAAGAGCCACTCAAGGTAAATGTTATGGTATGCTATTTTATGGGCGTAAGAATTGCAAGAAGTGAAGTTCTTGGGGCTACGCAAAAAAGGTAACAGCTGACTTGAAGTAGTCAAGATTTAATTAACGAATACAATTTCAGAGTTCAGTCGGAGACGTTAGGAGTATAGAGCGAAAGTAGACTTTAGAATGAACTGGACAATTCAATACTAAGCAAGAAACAAGGGATAAACCTCTACTCCTGTTCAAAAGATCGAGGAGGAATGTGAACCAGATTATAGGCGAACCTGTCTACTCCTATTGAGGAAAAAATAAATAGTAAAATAAATTTCAGAGTTTAAGCGGTGATGTCATATGAAATTCGATATTAAATCACCAACAAAGGTTGACATAATGTAAAGCCAACCGACCTCATACAATTCATTACCTTAGTCTGTTCGTATCTATCTATCTATCTATCTATCTATCTATCTATCTATCTATCTATCTATCTATCTATCTATCTGACTTTGTTAACATCCATCTATTGATAGTTGTACTTTGGTTGATCGTGATGTGCTGGTCGATATGTGCACGAATTTCACTGAATTTCGATAGGTGACAAGTTAATCAACGAGAGAGTGTGGTGCATGTATGGTCAATGTAAGAATTTAAACTGACAGAAATCTATCTATCTATCTATCTATCTATCTATCTATCTATCTATCTATCTATCTATCCCAGCTAAGGGTAAATAGCAGGATACATTGGGTTCTATAGCCTTACGTGGCAGCTGGTCTAGAAGAAGGACAACTCTGAATTCAAAACCTCCAATATGGGTTCAATAGCCTCACCAAACTGCAACTAGCCAAACATTGTGAATATGGCTACACTCCTGAAGACATGGTTAATCAGGGAGATTTTCTTTCAACAATAATGAGAAGGCCCTTTGTACATTTATATATATATATATATATATATATATATATATATATATATATATATATATATATTCAAATATACGCCTAATTGTTCAGAGCTGTTTGAAACTTTCACACGTTTATATCCAGCGAACACAAGACAGTTGCATTTAGCTACATGCTATGATTTAAAATTTGAATAACCAGTCAAGACCACCCTAAAATCATTTCAAAATTTATACACTTAATGGAGGTAGTTAATATCCCACATTAATCATCTTTAAGTAATTTTGTCTAAATTTTGTACATTTTTTTTTATTTTTTATTTATTTTCATGCATTATTTTGTTCACTTCATGTCTCGATTAGTTTCGGTTGTCATTCAACTCTTTCATCTTTTAAATTCTTTCTTTCGTTCTTTCTTTTGTTCTTTCTTTCTTTCACTGTACAGTCATTAACTTCTTTATAACAAACCTCCCTCAATCCATAATCGTAGCATTCTTTTTTCCTCATTTTTTGTACATTTCTTTTTTTGATCGATTTATTCATTCATTCTTTCTTTCTTTCTTTCTTTCTTTCTTTCTTTCTTTCTTTTCTTTTTAATGAATTCTTTCTTTCTTTCATTTTCTTTCTTTCATTTTCTTTCTTTCATTTTCTTTCTTTCTTTCTTTCTTTTCCACTGTAGAGGCATTATCTTCTTTGTAAAAAAAAAACTCTCAATCCTTACTCGTACTCTTTTTTACTTCCTTTCTTCTTTCTTTCTTTTTTCTTTACTTTTATATATATATATATATATATATATATATATATATATATATATATATCTTTTTTTCTTTTTCTTTCTTTCTTTCTTTCTTTCCTTTAAATATCACTCATTTTTCTCAGCTATTCGCACTTTGTTGACCAAACCGCACGGATTTCTTGTGTCTTTTTCATCATCATCGTCGTCGTAGTCACCGTCGTTCCGGTCAACAAAACTCTTTGCCTTTTTCCTGGGAAAAATATTCAACCCAAACACAGACAATAAAACTACATTAAAAAACAATTCTAACTCATATTAAAAAAATCACTTCCTCCGTCGGCCTCCCCTCTTGCTCTTCCACCCACTCTCACATTCACTCTCTCACGCCCACATTCTGGCGAACATTACCTACTCTCTCTTATTACAGGTTTTCCCATTCATTCCTCTCTTATTCCTTTTTTGTTTTACTTTTCTTTTTTTACCGAGTAAATAATTTCATTTTTTCTTTCTTATTCTTTGTCGTCTGCACATGTTTAATCTTCGTTTTACTATGTCTCTCTCTCGCACACACCCTCATTATCTTTCTCTCTTTCTATTTTACACTTTCCTCTCTACGAATACAACTTTATTTTCTGCCTCATTCAAATCGTAATTATTTTTCATATCTATTTTCTCGTTTTTTTATTATTTTCATTATTTCTTTTTCTTTCTTTCTTTCTTTATTTTCAAAATTCAGTACGAGTATCCTAATAACGGTTATTTTTACATCTCTCATTCACTTTTCATTCCTTATTTCATCATGTTAAGATTATTAATCCATTACTCTCTTTAAGCTTTACTCTTTCTTTCTTTCTTTCTTTCTTTCTTTCTTTCTTTCTTTCTTTCTTTTTCTTTCTTTCTTTCTTTCTTTCTTTCTTTCTTTCTTTCTTTCTTATTCAAATCTGTCACAGCTTGGCTTTTAATTGCACACATTTCCCTTTCTGTATTTTTTAGATATATTTATTTTTAATATATATATTTATCAACGGTAACTTGTTTTTAACTTATCTTACAATATGTCACTTAATGATTTAGACATTTTTCTTTTCTGTTTTCTTCTTAAAGAGAAACTCATTCGTTTTTCTTCCTGTTTAAAAGATTTCCATTTGTTTTGGTTTACAAAGTCAAAGCGATTTTTCCTTCAATTCTAATCTTTATTTTCACTCTATTGTTCTAGACAATGTCATAATTTCTTTCTTTTTACTCTGTCTTTCTCCCTTACTGTTATTCATTCATTTTTCATCCATTTTTTTTGTCATTTAACCAATCTGTCTTACTTTCATTCAATCATTCATTCATTCTTGCTTTAATTTCACTCCGACTTTCTCAATGTCATTCTTTCTTTTCATTCTTTGTTACTGTCATACACTCATTCATTCTTTCATTCATTGTTTTTCTTTCATTCAATCATTCTATCTCTCTCTCTTTCATTCAGACAATTATTCATTCTTTTTCCCCTCTGCCTTTCTCAATGTCATTCTTTTTTCTTTTCATTCTTACTGTCATTCATTCATCCATTCTTTCTTCTTTTTTCTTTCATTCAATCATTCTTTTATTTAAAAATTCATTCATAGTTCTGTTTTTCTTGCTCACATTCATTCTTTCTTTCGTTCTTTCTCACTCTTTTTTTCTGTCAGACTTTCTTACTTTGTCTTTCTTTCATTTAAACATTCGTTCATTCTTCCTTTCTTTTCATTTTATCTTACTCCTCAAGGTAATTCTTTCCGTTCAATAATTTCTCGTTCTTTTTCTATTTCATTCAATCCTTCTTTTTTTTATCATTCATTTAATCATTCATTCTTTCTTTTCATTCTCTCTATCTTATTGCCATTCACTCTTTTTTTCTTTCCTTCTTTTTTCTCTCTCAGCTTTTCATACGTTTCCCTCTTATATAGACTTTTTGTCTTATCATTTACCGCACTCTGCTCTTTTTCTAATCTACCCACCCTTAATTTCTCCCTCTTGGCTCTCCGCCTCTTTGATGAGCTCATTAATTACTTATGTGATTTATAGCCACAGATATATGACTGCCCTCAATCAGACTTCGGGTATTTGATAAATATAACTCTCTCACGGGAAGATCTTGTAGCGAGCCTTTGCATATACAGTGAGGGCGACGTTTTTGCACAGCGGCTAAAAACGACCATTGTTTTCCTCTTTTTTTCTTCCATTTTTTGTTCTTATCTATTCACAATTTTCTTTCGTTTTATTTGTAAAAGTATCTACAGACTGACAGGCAGGCAGGCAGGCCTGTTCAACTGCATTCCGTCCGAAGACGAAATCAAGTGAGAAAAAAAGACTGATGTGGATTTTTTTTCTTGATACACTAACATAAAAATATACATATGCACATATAAACAAATATGTATCGACTATATATATATATATATATATATATATATATATATATATATATATATATATATATATATATATATATATATATATATATATATAGAAGAGGAACTAACATCGTCACTTACACTTATTGACATTAACTTATTAAGGATCACTCTTCCGTTTTTGGAATTGTGGACATTAATGACTTAAAGGTAAAAACTAAGAATTATTGCCGGATTTTATAGAAATCTATAATTAATACTTGGATTTTATTTTTCAAAATAATACCGAATTTTTATTTAAATCTTTATAATTATTATATGAATTTTATTTTTTTTTAATATATACCGAATTTTTCAAAAGTTGTAATTAATATACTTTTTTTAAAATAATTTATATTGGATTTTTATTTCAATTTTTGTAATTAATACCAGATTTTTTTAATATTTTTTATAATTTATATCGGATTTTTTGAAAATGTTTATAATTAATACCGGATTTTCATTTTATTTCTTTTAATTATTTATATCAGATTTTTATCTTAATTTTTTTAATTAATACCAGATTTTTATTTTGATTTTATATAATTAATTTCGGATTTTAATTTTAATTTTTATAATAACTAATTTTTTTTTTTTTATAATTTACATCGGGTTTTTATTTTTATAATTTATGCCGGATTTTTATTTTATTCTTTTTTCATAAATTTTATCAAATTTTTATTTTTATTATATTATACAGTATTTTATATTTTTTTAATAATTAATTTCGAATTTTTATTCTTATTTTTATAAGAAATATCCGATTTTTATTTTTATTTTTGTAACTAACAACGGGCCTTTATTTTATTTTTTTCATAATTATTATCGGATTTTTATTTTAAATTTTAAAATTCATACTGGTTTTTACAGTGGGCATTAATGAGTTAACAGTAAATACTTGAATTTATATAGATAGATAGATAGATAGATAGATAGATAGATAGATATGAACAGACTGAAAGAGATTGTAGATAATCAACAGACTTAAATAGATAGATAGACAAATAATCAACATACTGAGATAGAGAGATTTGCTGATAATCAACAGTCTGAGATAGATTGAATATTTTTGTCGATACTAAACGATACCAGGTTTCAATCTCGAACACACCAGAGATCGACACCAAAATAAACGCCATTGTCAAGTTGCGGTCTTTTTATATAAACGATAAAAATCGGGCTCGATATTTTTGCAATGATCTGATATAAGGCTCTACATGCATACATAAAAATATATGCATTAAGTATATGTGTATGTCTACATATGTATGCGTGCGTGTTATGGAAAGTGCATATGTGGAGAGGAGAAAGAGAGAAGATTGATGCATTGGGATAGGAAGAAGGTGAGAGAAACAGATACAATTTTCAAGTAAAAGATATATATAGAGATAAAGTGACACGGATTTAGAGAGAAATGAAAAAAGAAAAAGTGAGAAAAATGAACATACACAATCAAGTACACACATATATGCAGAGATGAAAAAATAATTGAAAGTTAATAAAATAGAGAGAGAGAGAGAAAGAGAGAGAGAAAGAGAGAGAGAGTGGAACTGATAGACAAACAGACGGAGAGAATGATAAGTATCATAGTTAGCAGGTTAATCTCGCATGTTATCCACTTGTATAGTGATTTCGATACTCACTGAGTGACCCATAATTGTGGCTATGTTCCTGGCTATGCGAAGTCAATATATAAAAAGTCTGCCCAGCCAGTTAAGGTTAATGAAAAGCTATATTATCTCGCCTCCGGTATTCGCGCCTTTTGCGACCTTGAAGTAATCACATATTTATTCCAGCGACTTTTACACTTTTTGAAACAATCTACAAAGTTCTTTTTCGAGATCATCTTCAATAGTTTCGTTGTGTTTACTTTAATCCTTATTCATGATCTGAAATCTCTTTCATTTATCAAAGACGATTTAAATTTTAGGAAAAGTCAGAAGTCTTGGGGAGTTAAATTTTGATTGTACAGGTGGAGCACGTCGATGATGCGAATTTTTGTGCCAAAAACGTCTGCACGACACGTGAAGAATCATCAGTCGAGTTATTCAAAACGTTTTGATACTTTCTTTGGAATTTCCAGATCTTCGTCGAATTCTAATATAGTCAATCACCGAATTTCTTTTGATTGTAACCATCACCTGTTTGACATTTTTGGTTTCTCCGTTTGTAGAAAGGTCAACTGTGAACAGCTTTCAACGGATTTCTGGCCAAGTCTAAAACGTCTGTACGAAAATGTTGTTCTGCTTATTGAAGGTCTTCGGTAATATGGATAGCTTTCAACGGTTTTTTGGCCAAGTCTAAAACGTCTGTACTAAACGTTTATTAGACATTCTATTACCTATTGAATCTATCATAAAAGCCTTTTTAAAATTTCGGATCGTTTCCGCAGCCGAACCTGTTGTATATTCCATGTGAATGCGTCAGTGGCATAATAAAGAGGGAGAGAGAAAGAGCTTGCGATAGAGTGAGAGAAAGAGAGAGAAAGAGAGAGCGTGTGAGATAGAGAGACAGAGAGCGTAAGAGAGAGCGGTTCATATGGAAAGATAGAATGAGAAATGAGAGAGAGAGAGAGAGAGAGAGAGAGAGAGAGAGAGAGAGGTTCATTTGGACAAAGAAAAAAAGAAGTATATTTGTACAAAGGGAGTGAGACAGAGCAAGAGAGTTCCTTAAAAATACGGACAGAGAAAGAAAGAGTGCGTGTTTGAGGAAGAGAGTGAGAGAGGACGGTTCATTAGGACAGTTGGATCAGAATCCGACAAATTGATAAGATAAATAACAAATAGAAAACGTTTATAAATCTAACATATTTCACTTTTATTAAAGCTTCAACAGCGAATGAAATATATGGAGAAAAAGAAGAAAGAAATTCCGCCATTTTTACTTTATTATTGTTTGGTATTCCTTTGTTAAGTAAGCTTCCAGTGTATTTAACTTGTTAAGCAGCAAGTGAGCACAAAAAGGGCCTTCGTTAGTACAACCATTGACTCACTTGTAATACACAGGAACAAGACTGACTATAGTTTTGATTTTACAAATGTCACCCTAATTAAAAAAACATGATTCTTTACGTCGAATATACTTCGAGGGAGTTCTGATAAAAATTTTATCAACACACGTTTGAAACATTATATTACATCACCAATCTTTATTAAATCCACTCTTACAGAATCTAAGGTATGTTTATCTGCCACATGGGACAACTACCAAACATAAAGATACCATTGTGCAAATTAATTGAAACAAAACGAATAATTCCATTATTAATTACTTTTTTCGTATTTTTCCAGTGAAACATGACCCAGTGCACATATTAGTACTTCGTAAGGTCCATTCCACGAAGTCGTTCCTTGCAGATTGACCACAGATTTTCAATTGGATTTAAATCAGGAGAGTTTCAGAGTCAGTCTATAATATTTTGATATGCTCACTGGTAAGGCTTGCCAGTGTGTTCGTGTAGCGTTATAATTTTCGTACGCTTCCTTGGAGTAACGTCCATCGTAGACAATGGCTGTAGGACAACTAATCGAGAGTCGAGACAA